TTTAATTAGATACTTGTGTTATACTTTTACTTCATATTTCGGAATTCGTTGTTCCTCTAACCACCTACTTCTTTTTCGTGTTTTGATTGTCCAATATTCCAGACCATAAGACAGCTTTATAATTCCCTAAAGTTCTTGGCAGATTCTCTTTGGATCTTCATCAAACATTCTATCGAAATTACATTGCTTGATTTTTTTTTTATGTAATACAATTGTTATATATTTTTCCAAAAAATATTTGTTCTTCTCCCAATTCTTTCCAGAATGTTATATATTTTCGTAGGCCACTGGATGATCCTCTCATTCTCCAATTCCACCAAGGATATTCATCTCTTGTCCTGAGATTGGACCAATGCAGCATAGGTTAACGTGTGCGTGTCAGTGATATTCTTAGTTCTAATATCAACCAGCACCTCAGTACCTTCTCCGTCCACTGGTTTAGTACATTTCTAGTTACTTTCGGCCCTTAGTGGTACCTACTGATCACTGTTCATCGTTTCAACCATTTCTTCGAGTTTTCTTTTGACATTTTCACTTCTTTTTTTCCTCTTATATATTGTAACAAATACAACCCCTTGGGGTTCTTCCCATTGTCTCCTACCATCTACTTCACCTGCAGCTCTTGCGCATCCACAAACCATGGTTTGATATGTAATTATGTCATCAACTCTATAGAAAAGATGGATGAACCGGATTATTGTTGCCAAATGTAGAGAAGGTATGAATGAGAACGAATATATTCACAATGCAAGAGATTATTTGACCGATTTTGATTATATTGTCATCAGAAATACGTGTATTTTTGACGGAGATATAATCGAAACCGGCCAAATACATCTTTTCTACTGTGAAGATATTCATTCTCATTCATACCTCTTCTGTAAGAATAAATGAAGACTTGCCATTAATGTTGACTGTAAACAATAATGAAATAAATCCAGACATTTTCATGTCAAAGATGTATGTGAAAATTCATCAATATATATTTTTATAAGTCGTTGGATATTCAAACCGCAGATATACTCCTCAACAGTGAAAAGAAAATCCCACAGAGAATTTACAGACACAGAAAAGGCAATGTTATTTCCAAGTTGAAAATAACATTTACTACTTATGTAATATATTAAGAGAATAAAAAAGAAAACCTTTAATAACATCACAATTAGGTTTCAGATTCAAAGTACAAACTTTCTGATACTTTAGGGACTTCGAAATCTTCATTTCAGTTGTGTTTAAATCTTTTAGGTTATATGAAGCCATTTATATGTTTTATTTGTACTGACAAATGTATATTGGCGTGATATAATACCAGTGTATGCGTATATATATTTCTTTTCTCTGTAACAAACGTTTCGTTATCAACATTAGCATTTGATATGAAACGTATAGTAGTGAATACTAATTGCCATTACACAGACACCTGCTCTTTCATGTAAAACAGCAGATTTACTGATAATCGCATTGACTCGTGTGTCTAGCAGTGTGTTTTGCATTTTCAGTGCAAGTATTGTGGATTTGGATTAAAATTTAACCCGGAATTATCTTTAATGACGCGTACAGAAGACGATTATAGGTACACTCTCGCCTGAGTGATTGTTCGGAAAACAACACTCCGTTGTATGTCATGGTCATCTGTCTATATATTCCACTTTATTTCGGCGGTCTTGGGGTAATAACGCGACCTGCTGTTCATCCACAGGACACCTGCCAGGTGAGAGACCTTCACGTTAAGTTCCAGGCTCATAGACGCTATTATTTGTATTTCTGTTTTAGCTCATTTTCACTTACAGTGAGGGTAATGGTGATATCGAAACACCATCTCTAAAACGACTCGAAGGGGCCCTACTGCCCTAAGTTAAACTGACGCTTACCTCTTAGGCCGGTTTGTCTATCAGACTATGAGAGGCGAGTATGATGAGGGATCTTATTCAGCATTACATTATAAATGAAATATCACCAAGAAAAGAAATAATAGAAAAACAAAATGCGATATAGAAAACACAATACAAAGTAAGATGTAACACACCACTTAGCCCGGTTTCCCCCTCGTACTCATGATGTAGGCCACCTATTCCTAAGGGACCATTGTCATCAACACTATTACTACTTTCATTATAATAATCTTTATCATTATAATCATTAACATTTTTAGTATTATGATTATCATCATCATTATTCTCATTACCCTCATCATCAGTAATATTATTAATAGTAGTAGTCAGAGTAGTAGTAAAAGCAATAGTATCATCATTGTCCCAATATCATTGTTATACCATCTTTATTATTAGCAGGGGCAATATGTCCCCAGGGAGTTCTGTGTCCCTGCCCCTAGCTAGCAGTTGGGGTCGGGCTGGCAACCCGGTCCCGTAAAAAACCTTTACCAACAGGATGGGAACCATGTCTTGCCCTCTGCTAGGGCCTCTTTGGGAGTGGACCAAGAAAGGGACGTTTGGGGCATCGTGGAAGAGTTGGAGGGTCATTTTGCCCAAAATGACCTTCGACCTGCTTTCCGAGCCCTGAGGGAACTCCGATCAAGGTCCATCTCTCAATCGGGCTCGGTGAGGGCAGAGGATGGTCGCATTGTGTCAGTGCTGGGTGAGTATAGGGCCCCCTGGGCTGAGTACTTTGAGCAAC